TATTATCTACGATAAAGTTCGGAAGGAAAGATGTGAAACACATCTGAAAATCACTAACAACCATCTCCTTTGTAATCTTTTGATTTGAAAATGGCTACCTTTCAAATTTAGAAACCAGAACAAATTAAGCATAAAGATAACTTCTTGCCTGGTTTCTCTCTGGAATAATCTTTTTATACGCAGGCATATACAGATGTTCAGCCATGAAACACTACCAGACCTAATGCTGCACCAGGACTGCTGCAATGAAAACTGGCTTTTGGCATACCAAAGTCTGCTTTAGCCAAGCAGAACAGTCTCCCTGGACATCGGAATTAGACACCTCTGAAAAAAATAGCCTGATATCTAATTGCAGGGTTGGCAGGTGCTTCCATGATATATAGCGTATGGGATAAAATTACAGGCACAGTATCAGTGAGTAGTAAACACTATAGATGGTTTTCAGTAGGAATTAGCCAAGGATTTAGAGCAAAAAGCATCAGGGGGTACACAGAGTGATTTCTGTATTAGTATTATCTCTGTGCACACAGGACAGTACTCATTACAAATACCTGAATGAATCATCTAATGGCTGTGAATGTAGGACACTCGAGCACTAGCTGGGGTCCTGTGCTCATGGAAACACTGCCGAGGATTCAGCTTATCTCTGTGAAGCACAGAGCTTCTAAAACTCCATATTTCTAGAATATCTCTAGACAACGGAAAATAAAAGCTGGAAAAAGCCAAAGAGCTGAAATTGCAACTGAACAGTTTCAGATGCAAAGAAAGCATTAAATTTAGCTTAGGATGCTATTTTTTTATTTAAAAACTGCATCAGTCTCAGGATGGACTTCATAACAGAGGGCACTCTTACGGGCTAGAGCATGTGCAGACTTCTGTGTCTGGCAGTACAGGTCCCAAAGACGTGCTAGTATGAACCAGCACGGTTGTGATGGAAATGCTGAAGCTGTGTCTGAGCCTCGCAGCTTCATAAACCCCAGTAATACCTGGAGGAAGAAGGATGTGACACTTCCCGGGGTGCTGGAAACTTCCCAGGAAGGCTTCCCTCTTTCCAGTCTTCTTACCATGGGCTGCAGCTCTGTGCTATTAATTCATACCCAAATACCTTTTGTCTTTACATGTGAGGGGTAAGGCAGGCAGTGTTTTATGCAAACCACATCCAGTGGTGCCTCTCTCAGGCAACAAGCTGCAAGGATTTAGGACTGAAATCATCCTGGAGTAACTTCAGAGCTTTCCTTAGAAAGTAAATGCTCTTGCTCTTACTTAATTCCCTGACTTCAAAGCCAAAATGTGAGCAGGCTCACGATCTCCCTGCTTTCTTTTTGCACAATTTTGCATCCAGTAGAGCTGCGCCGCTGGAACACTCAACTAAAGCTGTCAGTACAACATGCCCAGAGAAGAAGCACAATACTCTACCATCACATAACTGACTTTCTTCACTAAATTACAATCTGAACAACTAAGATGGGAAATACAGTGTCTTTCATGCTCTGATCTCCGAGAATGACACGAAGATCATGTAGGTCTTGTCTGTGTGGTTTACTGCACCAAATTGCCTGGCAATCTCCCTGTAAAATTTAATTTGCCAGACACAGTGAACACAAACTACCTAAGCTGTATCAATTCATTTGGCATCTATGGCTGTAGCAGCACCACAATGAGTTTGTGTAACATTAATATTCACTACACCAAAGAGGCATAAATCGCAAACTATCCAAAGGAAACACAAAGACAGGATCAGACAACTGCAGATAGAGAGCTCTGACAGCATTTCAATTCTGTGTGATTCCCGTAGCTGACATCCATCTGTACTGAACTATGCACAGCAGATGCACTATTACCTTAAAGGAGCTACTGTGTATTTTGTTTTAAATCAACATGGATCTTCACTGGAAGAATAGTTAATGTACCAAGAACCTGAGTGCTTCAGAAAAACAACAGACAAGTATGTAGCCTTCTCCACAGAGAGGAAACAAATGTACTACATCCATAAAAAAAAACTCTGGAAAGGAAACCAGGAATGCTAAGATGCTATGGGGCTTTCAATTTGGCACCAAGCCCCTCCAGCAACATGGTGCTGTGGCCTTCCTGCAATCTAGATGGACTCACCTATACGGCAGTACTAGCAGTACATTTAGGAGATGCAAATTTGTTAGCAAACAAAGCTGAATCTGAAGCTAATCTGAGACACTGGGTAAGTGTCAAAATTCTACTGGTAATCCTGTTATGGGACAGGAATCAGTCTTCAATGATACCAGCAAGTGCTATTATAAATCAGCTGGCTGTTCAATGGCAACGTCTTTGCCCATCTCTTCTTTTGGCCTTAAAAATGACCCCTCCATAAAGAGGTTCCTACAATAAAGAAAAACACCATAAAGATGGAAGGGGTGCAAAAATACCGAACTGGATGCAAGCTTTCTGTCCCCCAGCTGCCCTCTCTGGGGTTACATGGGTCAGAAAACTTGGCTCAGAATCTGAAAACTTTTGGCAAAGGGTAATTCCAGATTTGTTTAAGTGTTAGATTGTCATACGATGCCAGAGAAAAATTCCCAGCAGTAGGAGTTACTGAAAGAAGGATACAGTCTCACTACTGTCATTAAATTGAATTGCAAAGCAAAGCTCCCACTGACTGGTACAAGATCACAGTCTCAAACCAAGATGGGAAATTGCGAGCTGCGGAGAGGAGACGTCACATCAAGAATGTGATGGAGCCTCTGTGTGGTAAAAATAAAGGCACGGGGTCTCTTTCTGCAGCTCTGCTGACTTCAAGGGGATCATATGTGTGTAAGCAGCTGCAACAGCGTGGTTTAAAGTTGGGCAAAGGCTGTGAGAAAGTTACTTGAATTTTCATACAATAATAATAATAATGATAAATGCCCATGTTTGCTTTCCATGAATATCCCAGTGAGCATGTCAGCTGCCCAAACAGCACATTTTAAATAACTTTCAGAATATTTACTCTAGGATTTTTTGTTGGAATTTATTCCCTCAGCTCTAGTGGACTCCTCTGCTCAGCTAACACTAAAGACAGAGGACAAAAGGAATTGTTGAAAAGGCAACTACATCTTCCTACTAATCCTTTCTTCCTTTAAATGTGCCCCAGTGTCTCCAGCAAATACGGGAGTGAGATGAATCTAGGAAACCTTATGGGTCTGACTCTGCTCTCTCAGCCCTGTGTTGGTGTAAATAGTAGTACTCCACTGTGTAAAAAAAAGCTACAGTAATTTACAACAGTGTGCCAGTGAGCACCTTTCAAAGGTAACTATTGTCATTTCCTTCTTTTCTCAGAAGTTGGCAGCAAAGGAAACAGAACCTCTCCCAGGAGAGCTAGGAGTAGAACTGACTTATTTCACATCAGCATCAATACTAAAAATTAACTCTTGTTGCCATAAAGAGGAGGTTTCTTGCTTATTGCTAAATCATGCATCATCCCCGCATGCATCATCTCCCCTTCACTGCCTTCCAGTGATGCAGGAGAAACGCCACGTGAATCCAGCTTAGCCAGGAGGACTAAAACCCAGCCTCTTCCAAAGAACTCTCTAGTCTCTTTGCCTTTAAAAACAGTAGCAATTTTCTTATGAATTGACTGGATATTATTTAAGATCAGATTTTGTCTTCCTTATTCCAGAAAAGCACTGCTTTACTCAGAAGAGGCGAAAAAACTTCATGCAGTGTATAGTCAGAGCATGAACACTGACCCAGTTTATACCCTCCGAGCTCCTTCACTTACCTCTTCCCTGCCTCACACAGTGTAATCAGTTCAGACCAGGGTATGAATTTGGAACTACCTTGGCTAAGGGCAAACATCCAAAAGGTTTCTAAACCATGAGGAATAAATACCAACTTTTCAATAAGACTCCACTTAGTATTTAAAATGTGACTTTCCACTAAAAGGAGCATGGAGAGAAAGCAAACAATCCTCTAATTATTAAATACATCTGATGATTGTGTGAATGTTCTCACATTAGTAATGCATTTCACCATCTCTTATGGTAAGAAGGGGCGGCACCTAATCTGTTAAAAGGATGGAGTCAAGTGCAAGTACAGGCAGAGGTCAGAGCTGTGGGCAGGTAGCTCAGGAGTGAAAAGAAATTCTGGAAATTCTGAACTCAGGTCCCCACCTGCAGCAGGGCTCCTGTGGCACTGAGGCTAGGGCGTTTAGGACAGGATCCAATTCATCAGAGCTCACACCCCAGGTCTGAGACTGCTCTGGAGCTCCCAGTAGTCAATGAGAAAGACACCTCCAGAAAGTGACTTATCCCACTGTAAATGTCCAGAGCAGGCAGCAATAATCACCTACTGGACACACCCACCCTTCTCCAATGACACAAAATGAAATCTAGATGAAAAGCTTAGATTATGTCCCTATCATTTTGATGGTTAGGTTTATGTGAGCTGAATTCCACCGGAAGACTCTCTGTGCCTCAGCTCCCCCTGTAAAATGAAAAGCATTTCCTCCCCTGACAGGGATGTAACAAAGATCAACATGCTAAAATCTGTGACGTGCTCAGCCAAAACACATGCTTGTGAAGGAGGGCCATGAAAACATCACATACAAACAGGAAAAGGGGGTGGGTCTGAAATCTGGCTCGAGACACAAAAGCAGCATTATCTATATAATCCAGCTGCCCTCAGTTACATCAGTGCCAGCCCCGTCAAGACAACAGGATTGCAGGGGTGGGAGAATCAGAGCCATGCACTTCCTGGCCAGGACAGTACACAACTGAGAAACAACACTGCTTGACTTCACAAGCCTCAGCTGTGCTTTCAGGACAGGCAGCTCAAGTCGAGCCTTTGTTCACTCAAGGCTGAGCTATTAATTTAGAATTCACTGAGGCACAATGAATAGGAAACCCAGTGACAACATTTTTATAGCCACTCTTCTTACAATGGGAGCTTGTAATTCCCAAGGCAACTCTGGCCTGTGTTTGATTAGTGTACTTAAATCTCCACCTGTGTTTTTATCATAACCAGTATTTTCTGTCAGAGTTTACTCTTACCCTGTTGGAATCAATTCTTGTCCTGGAGGTGTAGATGGGAGGAGGGATGTTGAAGGCTTGAGGAACAAGATACTCTTCAGCATCCATCATATCTTCCAGATCTTCCTCATCGAGAAGGTTTTGGAAGAACTTGCTGTCATTTGGGCTTGGGAGCTTCATACGATCATCTCCCTAAACAGATTGTATTGAGAGAGGAAAACGGTCAGAAGATGGATTAATTTCCCAACAGGGAACTTCAGCCTCTTCATGCTCTGGCAGCCAGGCTGCAGGGACCACACATGCTGCTTTGTTTGTTCTAAAGTACCACATCCACGTCATTTGTTTTGATTTTTTTACCAGGACTGTGATGACATAAAGGGAATAACTACATAAATCAAGCAAAGTCATTTTTTGGCATTCTTGTGATTGAGCTTTTATTCTTTCTTCTCTCTTTTTCCCATACAAGCTCAGTTTCTGACCCAAGTTCTGTCAAGGCCTGATGTATTTTGTGAAATATCTCAGCTATTTAGGCTCACATAGGGGGGAAAAATAACATGGAAACTGCTGTGTCTGGGTGTTTGCTTTATTTTCATTTGTATTTTTAGGGACTTGGAGGCTCAATTTCCTTCTCATCCATATGGAAAGTTCTGCAGAATATAACAGAGCTGAAAGCAATAAAAATCAAACCAGGCAACAAAAGCAACAACAATGATATATATTTTTATTGAAATAGCATCTACAAGCTGGAGAGGCAAATCAGGGCTGCGCTTTGCTCAGTACCACAAAGCATCACAAAAAGCAGCCCATGCCCCAAACACCTAGCAGCCCATAGAAATGATGCTAAACTTAACTGCATGGCTACAGAATGGCCTCCCACTCCACAAGAATTATTATGCCATGTGCAGAATCCAGCAGGGAATGATGGCTGTGCTACAGGGCGCATACAGGCTGGTTTAAAAGCTCAACAGCAAGCTCGTCATTCTTGACTGCATCTGGGGGGAATGGGGAGTCATAACGGCAGAGATACCAGTGCAATGGAGTTACCCTGGTTTCTCCTCAAGAAGCACATGGCCTATATTATCTGCAAGAATCACTGGAGTAGTAGCATCAGAGGATGAAATATCCACCAGACTATACAACAGGGGAGGGAAGGCCACAGGAGAGAAAGGGAGGGAAGAGGTATTTGGAATAGGGGAACATGTCTTATCTAACAAAGTAATTTAATCAGACTGATTTTTCCAGAATCGCTTGTATCAGCTGAACTTACAATTTAACACAGTGGGGAATACTGCAAGAGAAATTCCACATTCAGCACCACAAATCCTCTTGACTAGTATTTTACTTTTCAAATATATTGTACTTCTCCTCAAGCTGAAGGAGAGTAGCGTACATTCACACTGTGCAATAATACACCATAGGTAGGCTAGCATGTCTACGCAGCAAAATGGAACACCATATGCTGAGACGAGCGCTAGACCCAGAAGCAATCAGGAGACATAAAGTGGCAGCGACTGTACTTCTGGAGGCTCTTCAGCTAGACATTCTTATGCCAGTGTGAAGCTAAGGACCAGCTGGATGCATCTGTGCCCTGTACTTCATGCTGTGGAGCAGATATAGCATGAGATATGGCATGAGAGTATCATTACCTGGATCAAACTAATTCCATGCTTTGGTCTCTGGTGTTTCAACATCACCTTGCTTCTGATTTTTCATTTTCATTTGAACTCCTCACACACTGGGACCATCTCAGGACCTTACCAAATAGTTGGATACATTTTCTGTGGCTTGGTCTAAAGTAGGTCCACTGTCCGCTGGTGTTTCATGAGAGAATTCAAAGTACTGAGCAGCTTGCAAAGCCAGATCTCGTATATGTGCTCATACATACAAGCTTAGGAAGTGAATTTCAGATTTTATTTTTATTTTTTTTTTAGGTACTGACACTGGTCATTCTACTTCACTCTTGTATAGTACTGTGGTCACTGTCAGCTTTAAGTTCAAGAGCACCTTGAAGTTAAGAGATTCAAAGGCAACCCCCTTAACAGACAGGTTTGATAGACAGATTTCTTCTCCTCCCCCCCCGCCCCGATGTTGCAGAGTTGCTTACTTGAATTACTAGGTATCTCTGAGGGTCTCGAGCCATTCTAGAGAATTCAGCAGCTAGCTCCTTGAATTTAGGCCGACTGTCAGCATCAATCATCCAGCCTGGGGACAGATGAAAGATGAGAAAGAAAACAGTTAATTGCCAAGGGAAGAAATTTGGGTTTTAAAAATGCACAAGTTTGAAGCAAAAAGATGCCCTTGATAGCTGTGGCCTAAAGATAAGACGCAATAAAGAGCTCAGAAGAATGGAAAACCAGAACTCTATGATACATCTAAAATGGAAAACATCTGCTCTTGCCCAGAGAAAACTAGATGTTCCACACTGCATGGATTTCTTCTTAATTTGCTCTAAGCTCCTGTTCCCCAACTCCAAAATAGAGACAGAAACAATGCCTTGCATTTTTCTGTGTCTGTCTTGCTCATTTAGATGTCAGCTCTGATAGTCTTTTATTATGGATGTGTCTAACCTGTAATATAATGAATCTGATCTCATCCGAGTCTAGTGGGTTTATTACAAAGTTACTACTAAATACAATTTTACTTTAACTGACCTACCGTTCCACAGTGACTTAGATTAAAAAGAGCTGTGCAACAGATCTACAGGATGACTGACCTCGCATCTGCTTTTCAGATAATTCTGCATTCATGTGTCTGCACCATTAACACAGACCTCACACAAGGCATTAGATGCCATTTCAATTGAGTAAGGGTGATTCTTTTGTCCTTCACTCTCCAAGAAACATTCATTAAGAACAACAATTCTCAATTCCTGCTAAGGCTTTCTGCAAAACAGGTAGGTGGTATAGGCAGTCACCATCAGCAACTAGTTTCTCTCACCGTCAGCTTTTTCTAATGGAAGATTCTATCAGCAGCTTCCCAAGAACATGTTCGCATTTGCCAGGAAGGCTAAACAAAATGAGCCTTGTCTCCTTCATGCCATTTAACTGAAGAAGTGACCAATGTAGAAAAAACAAAGCTACTATAGCTTATAAAGAATTTCACATAAACATTACAGGACTAAGACTGTACACCTAGCTGTAACATTACGTCTTCCAAAATGCCCCATCTACTAGGACTTCCTTTTGTCCACTGAGATTCACCTCATACTCATTAGAAATCCTATCAGATGGAACATTTTTGCACTCCACCAACATGAACCCCTTGCACTATTCAGACAATTTCCATACCTGCATGCACAGTAAAACTGTTTTCAGAAGATACGTTATTTACTACTTCTAGTTTTATTTTCTTTCTTTCGTGTTTTAGTGTACAAAGCAAAAGGGAAAGGACTATGTAAGATGGATGAGATGTCTGTGTGTTAATCGCACTTAAATTAAGCCAGAAATACCAGAGAGATGTTCCTAATTCTTTTTAAATTAGAAGCATAGCCTTGGAGGATACTGTCGCTAGTGTGGGTATCTTGGAGATAAAAGGGTAGGCAGACTGTTTTCTTTTCCTAAAGTAAAAATATTCATAAATTATTGTACTGGACTAAGAATGATAAAAAATTATCCTCTCTGTAGCATTTCTTGTATTAATTTAATTCTTCTTTTTATTATTACTATTGCAATCATCATTCTTGTTACTAACAATAAAAGATTCATGCTTTCTTTCCTCAATATTTGGAACTAGCATTTCTCCTCACAACCTTCACTGGCTGGGTATCCATGTACCATAATTATGTTTAATACTATCTTTTTTAACATCAAAATCAATTGTCATGGAAATGACAAGGGTTTACAATAACAATCACATAATTTTGACTTCACAGCAAGAATATGAGATACCATCTGACAGTAATAAGAAGCTGAGCTAACTCAACCCTTCATGGCTAAATTCATATCTTTTGCAATTGCAAAAAATGTGCATACAGTATTTAAATGGAATTTACACTATCTTGGGAAGCTTTTGTTTTGAAGCAGCCTGCCCTATTAGCCAACACTGTCAGAGAATATAGATGCAAATGTTCAAAAATAAAGTCTCTCTTGCACTGAGCGTAGTGATATTAAAAGCGACAATTACTTACACTTCACCATCACCATATAAACATCAATAGTGCAGATTGGAGGTTGGGGCAACCGCTCTCCCTTCTCCAAGAGGTCGGGGATCTCTCGAGTTGGGATACCATCATACGGCTTCCCACCAAACGTCATAAGCTCCCAGATAGTGACTCCTAGGCAGAAAAAAAAGGGTGTTAGTATTTGAGGTCATACTACTCAGATTCCTTCACAATTTCTTACAGCGCAGTATTCTGGCCCAGTTCTGGACTGCAATCTCTTCTTCATTACCAGTGTCTGTAAAAACACCGAAGTCTGGTTTGCCATTTAAAAAGCTCCAGAAAATGGTGTAACAGCGCTTTGTGGTAATCTTCAAAAGCAACTTCCATCATTTTTATTGGTGTAAGAAGCAGCATGAGAGATCTGAGGCACAATAGAAAGGTCTAAGACAAATAAATGGTGGTAAAGTAAATGGATCTAATAACAAAAGAATGCATCGCACTCTTTTATCATATCAAAAGAGAAAATGAATGGCTGATGTACTCTATTATTTTAAGGGGAAAAACTGCAGATGTTCCCTAACTTAGAGCATCAATTTCCCACAAAGGTAAAGCACTGAGTAACATTCTGTCATTGTCTTTGCCTTGTAAGTCATTCACAACCACTTGCATTATTTTTTTTCTTTAAATCACTTTATGGATTTGAGTTATGATAGTGCTGTGCTTCAAAACCAAGATTCCCTTTTGAATAGCCATAGGATTTGTTTTGGCATCCGAGCTGGAAATAAAGATCATATATCATAAGTAACAGAATTCATCCTCCAAACAAAATCTTAGATATTGAAAATGCTGTTCTCACACCAGTTAAACTTTTATTTTTATTGCAAAGGTCATTTTAAACACATCTACAGATCAGCAACCATATTTTGCCAGCTGTCACGCTAATGTGAAAGGTGATGGGCAAAATTACCATATGTATAAAACACACATTTATTTCACCCTCATTCACCTCTTTGTTGACGTTCAATAACTATAACTTGCCAATTGTTTTTGGCCTTGTCCTTTCTGATTATAGATGTTCTGGGGTTCCTGCATTTAATATGAATTTCATAAATGGAGGCATATTTTTTCCTAAGTGATACGGGGTATACAGAATTTGAAGAGAAAGAGCAGCTTTACATGATTGATTTAACTTTCATATGTTTTTCTCAGCTGAATAGAAGAGGACAGCTAACCAGTCACAGCAAACAGTGTCTTTTGCTGCTACCCACAGGTAATAGTGAGTAATGAATAGAATTGTACACCTTATCTCAAAATGATATGGCAACAGGAAATGCAAATAGGAGTCCATAGCCCTAGATACTGCTGCAAAATTCCACCTGATTTTATTTGCAATAGCTACACTAGATAAACAGGCAGGCAGCTCAGCATTTGTGGCACAATAGCTTGTCTGGATCACAGAATTAACAACAGTAAATGACATCTCTTTTCTCAAATGCAAATTTTTTTTGGTGTGTGTGGAGTCCACATGACCTGACCTGTCTAACCAATTCCCAAGTTATCTATGAAATTAAATGGACGCTTGTTTTAGTTAGCTTGGAGAGCTCATCTTTTTGCCTTCATTCTCTTGCTGTATTTGCTCTGTATTATGACAAATTCCCTTTTATCTGACTGTAGGTACAGAAAGTCCCATAAGCCTGAAAATGTTTTTTGACATTCATGGCTTTTAGAGTTAAGATTTTCAAAGGACTGCTGAAAATTATGACCTGCAGCTGTATTTTTATGAATCTGTGGCTGAGCTGAAAGAGTCCTTCTTCTGTCATAATAATCAGCCAAACGACTACCAGCCCAGAGCTTACGGCAGTCATCCCAGCAGGGACATCATGATAATGTACTTTAGTGAGCAGGGAAGTTAACGCAGGAGACAAGTAACAATTGCTGTTTAGAGTTACACATAAAAAAAAAAAAAAAAAAAAAAAAAGGAAGAAAAGAAAAAAAAAAAAAGAAGAGCAAAACCCACTGGAATTAACTCCTCTAAGAAACGAAGGTATCTTTAACACAGTAACACAACATAGTTGTAGCTTTACAAGAGGCAAATTTTTAAACTAGTCACATGAAGATTTACCATAGCTCCAAACATCACTCTGATGGGTAAATTTCCTGTAGTGTATGCACTCCAGAGCCATCCACTTAATTGGCATCTAGGGAAAGACAATAGAAATGCAAAATTAGAAATTTAATATTAAAACAATACAGATAGAACCTGTATGTAGACATCAGATTCCTCCCTGCTTCCATTTCAGCTGCAAGCTTAAAAAAAAGCAGCACCACTCAGCAGTCGAAATGGTTGTTCTTGCCCTCTAGAATGGGGCTTTGCCTCACAAAACATATGGAGGTGAGAAATTCCGTTATCTGCAGAACTTCTCATATAAATTCTTATACCACCCAAATTTTACTGATTCAGATGTAGTGGAACAACTCACTTTTTAATCATACTATATAAAGATGAGACCAATGCAAAAATTACATCCAATCCTCCTAAATCTGAAGTGCAGCAGAGAAAGTGGAATACAGAAGCTCTTCTGCCTCAACAGTTTACAAAACCAGACACTCCTATCTCGATTGCTCTCTAATGAGGCTAGTTAATAATGCTGTGTCCATAATACTTCACTGTCCACATAAGCATCATCAGAGTAAACAGGCAATGGGGAGAATTTACAGTGCTTAATTTCTAACTCCTAATATTTGTTAGGAACTTAGCCTTCCCAGTTCTCTGTACCATTACTGCAGTGAGAAAAACTGCTCCTGAAAGCAAGTCAAAAGTCCCAAGTTAGCCTCTGGCTCTGAATCACCCTTGCGGTGAGCTCACCTCTTCTGACAGAGAAGGCTGTGTAGGCAAACACAAACCTAGGTTTGGCATAAGGGTTCGCCCTCTTGAGTTCATGTTAAAATGAGATTCACAGTGTTTCCTATTGCTGAGCTGGGCCTGTGAGGCACGGTCTTGCAGTCCATTAATTTCTAATGGACAGACATTAAAACCAGATTTCTACCTGGCATGAACTTGTATGGGTCGCCTCTAATTTGGAACTATGGCAGATGTGCTAGAATAAGCTAGAGACGTACGTAACTGCACGCAAAATCTGAACAGATGGTGGGTGTCAAAGCAGAGGATGTGTCTTCATTCAAACCCTTATGAAAACACCTTCCATGAAGTTGGCTAATGAACATAACCTATACAGTTACAGCAAAGCAGCACTCTCTAATAAAGGTTGGCTTAGCACTTGCAAAGACAGTTCATCCCCCTCCACTAAACTCTGCAGAAGTGTATCACGTTCATTCCCGTTAAATATGACTCGGTTGTTCCAAACTTGAACAATTGCTGAAGTAGCAAAGCTGCATTGCTCAGCATCGGATAACTCAGGTTGGAAGGGATCTCAGGAGGTCTCTAGTCCAACCTCAGGCTCAAAGCAGAGTCAGCGATGAGATCAGACCAAGTTACTCAGGGCATTATCCAGTCTGGACTTGAAAATATCCAAGGACGGAAACTGCACCACCTCCCTGGGCAACTTGATCAACTGCTTCATTATCCTCATGGTGAAAAAGTTTTCCCTTTTGTCCAGTCTGAGCCTTTCTTAGCATGCTCTCTATAAAACTTTAAGCTGCAATTGTGTGCTGGATTTCACAGGACACTTTTCTGGAACGGGGAAGTGACACATCTGATGTGTAAAACCTGCTCCAGAACTCCCAGCAGTGTGATTGGCCCCACAAGTCCAAGACACCATCTAACAGCTGCCAGGGAACAGCTGGTTTGCAAGGACCAGCTCATTTTCTGTCATTCACTGGCTGATGGAGGGAAGAGGCAGAGGGGTTACTGAAGAGGGGATCAGAGAACTGAAGGAATCAGGGAAGACTGCCAAAACTCCACCTTCCCTGCCAGGAGGTCTCTTTACTGGGGAAATGGGAAAGCACCGGTGACTCCTTTCAAGCTCTTCACCTCATTGACTGTACTCCACGCAGCAGCTGCCAAGGGCAGCAGCCACACAAATAAAGCAGCAGCCCATCCAGGAGAAATGCACACACTGGCAACAGCTGTTTGTCCCAGACAAGGGCATGAGTGAGCACAGAAAAACAAAGATAGCAAGTAGACAGAAAGCAAACTGAACATTCAGGAAAAGGAATGACAGGAGAGGCAGAATCCCTTGGGATTTTGTGACAGGTTGAAATGTGGAATTTCAAGATGTTTAGGGAGCAGCCGGCAGCAGAATGTACTTACAGCCTTTACTTACAGCCTTCTAAATTTTATAATGCATTAATCTGAAGGCATTAGAAATAAGGTGAGGCACAGCATGAATGTTGTGCGGTATGCTGAAAAGTAACATGGGAAAATGTCTGGTTTCAAAATTATCCTCAAGCTAGCTTTTTAGTGGCCTGGCATTCAGCGTGGTATTGGAGACTTGGATGCAAGAAATGGCATATACAGGCTCTTCCAGTGTGATAGAAGAGGTGGCTCTTTGCTGAGCATATGTAAACTCTCACATGCTACAAATACAAATATGCTTTGTGGCCTTCCTTTTAGTTTCTGGAAAATTACTTGTCTGGGAAAATGGGACTGCAAGTTATTGAGGTCCATACTGACCAGAGAAAGGGGCTTGGCAGAAATGTGCTACAACATACGTCATTCATTGAACTGACTTCAGAAGTCTTCAAAACAAGATACGAAATGATGCATATGAATAAAACCTAATTCTGAGTGTGAAAACTGTTCAGACAATTATATTTTGGCATCTAGAGAAGCTCAGTGAGCAAAAAATGTGCAGCTTTTATGTGTACTGTCACAACACAGTTTGCTAAGTCACTGACAGATTTTCTTACACAGGTAATAGTCCCATAAGGATATACTGCCCTAAAGAGTAACTTCAGGAGGTTTGTCACAGTAATATATTTACTTCCAGACATGTACAGCACTCACCTTCCCTCCATCAGCATTATACTCCTTCTCATCCCCTTCCAAAAGTCTGGCCAATCCAAAGTCAGTGATCTTCACGTGGTTTGGTGATTTCACCAAGACATTACGGGCTGCCAAGTCCCGGTGGACAAGTCTCCTCTCTTCCAGGTACATCATTCCCTGAAAGACAAAGAACAGCAAATAACCTTAATGAGTCTTACCTGATTTTTAGAACTACTATTCACTGGTGACATGTAAAATTTCTGGTTCCCTTATTAGTATTCACAATAAGAAAATGGCCTGGAGGGCAGAAGTTCAATACTGCCCTTGATCTGAGCAGGAGGTGGGATTAGATGACTTTTGGTTCCTTCCAATTTGAACAATTCTGTAAGATTCTATGGTAACTGCCAAAGGAAAAAAAAAACAAAAACCCACATAGACATCTCCTTTGCTCCAGCAAGTTTAAAACCTGGAAATGTAAGACAAAGAAAAGAAATATTATGCCCCTAATTTTTCAGACACTAAATCTGAAGATGATAAAAAATAATCAACTTAGCCAGAGCCCCACGGACATTAGGTCAGACTGCAAAACAACTCCAGCTCTTCTACGTTCCAGGCAAGTGTCTTCCACTCAAGATGAAGCTTCTTATCCATCTCCAAATGCTTTTCAGTTGGACACAAATTTTCACTACCCTCAGTGAATTAGAAGGAAAACAATTCTTTATTCCAACTTCTGCAACCCACTTGCCTTTTCACTCCCTTAAAATTTCCGTGTAGTATTATAATAAGACACTAGATCAATGGCCTTTTTTTTTTTTTTTAATGAGCATATATGTTCTGTTAGAAGTACTTTTGTTAACAAGCCCATCCAGCTGCTTTTAAAGATAAGGTAACATACACTCAAGCTACCTGGCCTTAACCTTATTCTTACTCTGATGAGAGACTAACCTCATGGAAGTTTACATGATGCTTTGTGACACTGAGATGAACACCAAAGCTTGGTCTTATTAATTGTATGACACACAAAGGATAGTCAGGCAGGGTTACAGGCCTATAATTTCATTAAAAGGCATTTATGACATTAACCATCATTATGAGAACCTACAGATGAAATTACACACTTGATAATTACCCTTAAGGTATATCTTAATATATTAGCTCTGTATAATATATATGGTAATTTTTAATAGACATTGTTGAATACCGAAGAGATCATATTACCTCATAATACAGATGATAATTCAGAGAGTCACAGGTAGTGATTAAAATAACCAGATTACTCAGTGTCATGGGCCAGATTTTATTCCCTTTCACAGCATAACAAGCTCACACGTACCTATCCCCATACATACCAGGAGGACAATGCATATGGGTAAGCCACCACTTGTGATCACTGGGCCAGAATGTAGCCCTTTCTTGACAGAAAGTGAATGTCTTTAGAAAAAGCATCAAACGGAGCTCTGAACTGTTGTGGCTTTTAGGCGAAGAATTTCAGTGCAAACACCGCTAAAAGGTTTGAAAATACGTGGGAGAACATTTGGCATAAACACTATTTCATTTTTAATGTGGTAGTGTTTGCTGCAGTCAACCCGAAGGTGGTCTGAAAGGGGACACAGGGACTCTTTGGCATAAAGCAAATGGAATTATTTTTTTAAAAGCACTGCTAGTTGAAGTAAATACACCCTCCTGCCAATTGCAAATCAATACTTTTGGCTGTTGAACATCAGAACTGTAAGTCTTTGAAAGCATAATGTTTTTTGACACCAAATTAAAACCTGTAGAAAAAGGACAAATAAATCCTATAGGTCAAACAGTTGTGAGTCACACAACAAACGTGCTACGAAACCAGAGGCACCATAACTTAGCACAAGAATTACCATCTGAAGAAATCCAACTGGGAAAAGACAACACAGTCAAAAGCAACGACACTGTGTAATAGAGAGAAAACAACCACAAAAGTGGCCCCGTAAAATTGAGGCAGATTGGGAATTCATATAAATCCTTTTTCACATCTCTAACACTGAACAGTAACCAGAAAGCGCTTCAACAACATTGCTCATACCAAGTACTCTGGGAAGCAGGTGGATTACAGCAACCTCCCAGTCCCATGTCTTTCCCTTTCACCTGGGGGTCTTGCAGATGAGATGTCTACAGGTAGATGTTAACCAACCTGTCCAGACAAGCCTCAGAAAGCCACTGAGAGAGCACCATGTGCATGTCATGTGCAAACAGACAGATGCCCTTACGCTTCCCCCAAACACTTCTCTCCTGCAGCTCATAGTCTTCCTCCAGCTTCCACGGGGTTCAGTATCTCTCTTCGATCTTGCATCTTTCACTGCAGAAGAGTTCCTCCCTGACCAAAAAGTGCCAAGGTGCTGCTTACACTTTCTTTCTACTTAGTTTAGGAAATATCTCAAATTTTTAGAATTAACAGAAATACTTCTAAAACTTCATAGATTTGACATAACTTCTAATATTCTTATTTGGTCAAAAATCTCAATACCTCAGAATATGGGGCAGGGGGGAGAAAGGTTCAAACCTGCAAACAAATCTTTGTGGGCAGAATCTGACAAAGGTCACAAGAACCCAGAGAATTTGATGAGAGAATTCTGTTGGTATAAGAATACACTAGGCCCAAATAAAATTGTCATTTTTAATGCATTAACTTGCACCTATCAGCACTGGAATGATATGAAGACATTGCAGATTTCTTTTGGCAGAAATGAAGAAATAGAATTTCTGTCTTGTTAAAATCAGAACAGATGACCTGTACCAAAGCTTTAGCCTCCCATCTTTAGCTAGTGATGGCAGGAATGGATGGTAAGGTGTCCAGAAACATCCTTCATTGAAAGAGTTAAACAATCAAACCCTTAACTGTGCTTCCTTGGTCTTATTTTACCTTCTCTAGGTATTTAATTTCCAAGCATTTTTAAACATGTAGGCTAACACTTTAGGATGTTTCACTGTTTATTCTACTCATTCATTACCACTTATTTCAATCTTGTGGTATTATTTAATATCGTCTTAGTAAGACTGTATTTTATTCAACCTAACCTCATGCTCTCTTATGTACAAGAAAGACGTTTAATCACTAACCTGAACACTGCTCCTAATCAATACCACACCTGGTTTTCTTTTCCATCCAGAAAGAGGGCAGAAATAGCTGTCTGTGTATCACTGTACTTAACAGTTTACTTCACCTTTGTCAAACAAGCTTCTCAGGGATTTTTCCCACCTGCATTATCTGCAAAGCTAAAAGCAACCCATATAGGGTTAACAGCTACAAAATCCTCTCCAGGTCCATGACCTGCAGAAATGTAAATCCTCTTAGGAATACCCAGTGTAAACTTGTTCAATTTACCTGATATCCTATCAACAAGTTCTAAAGGTGGATGGTGGAAGAATAAGAAAAAAGGTATATACTTTCAATAAACAAGATTATACAAGCAGAATGAAAACAATCTAAAAACGGGAATCTTACAGTATTCACTGCAGCAATGCTGCCTAAACATACACTATGTGAAGAATCATCATCTGAAGGCATTTTTGAAACTGGCAGGAAAAGTGCTCTATATGCATTTCTAATCTTTTTACATGACACAGAAAAACGATTACAAAAAACCACTGTCTGTATTACACAGCTGGTGCCATCACCACCCAAAAAGCCTATGATCAAATACCAAGAGGACATTTTATGAGAGTTACAAGTCAGTACTACAAGTGACCCTAGACCCTGACAATGGAAAGAGATCTCTTTGTAAAAATAACACTTTAAAGCCTGATCCAAAAGACACTCCACTGTGCCATTTGTGGTGTGATCTGTGAGGCTGAGGAAATGAAACGCCCTTCAGGACTTGTCCAAATTAGGGCTATGCAGATCCCATATAATTATCAAAGTATAAAATATCCAGATAATAAGAAACCCCATACTTCAGTACACATATTAGAACATCCACAATAGGGTGGGACTTTTATGCGGAAACCACTGAGAGGAAAAAGTTCAACATTAAATCATTAAGGATCAGTTGTCCCTTTATTTCTGAGCCCAGATTAATCTCACACGAACACAAGGATCAGCCATGACCTACCCGTCACAGATATTTCCTCATCACAGTCACGACAGAGGTTTTCTCACAGAGAATGTCATTAGAAATGCAATTACTGCTTGGATCCCTTAACATAAAATCACTCTCTGAATCAGTGCCTAATGCTATTAAGAAGTCAAACAGCCACTGCAAACAGCTATAACACAGATAAGTTGAGGAATTCCCTTTGGAAGTTCAGGATGAGCGAGGAACAGCCTTCTATTTTTCACAATTGCGCCCCTTATCCTCACCCAGTACCAGAGTCACATACAAAGCCAAACCTGTGCTATATGGATCTTTACTTTGGCATACAATAGCAGTAAAACTGCCTGTAGCCTCGATCCCTTCTACCTGTGTGATTATGTGAAACTGTGAAAATGTAAATTCTCCTTTCAGAAGCAGCCACAAATGCCCTTGCCAGGACTTTGATTAGTGTTAAAGGTCTTTTATCCTCGCCTACACAATTACTAACCTGACCTGCCCACATGTTTATACATTTCACACAAAGCTTGCAACAGCACCGGGGAAACTAATAGCAATGCTGAGGGGTAGAATAGGCCAAGATGGCTTTGTTCAAAGGAAGGTGGACAGGAAAGATGTAAATGGCCACTAGGAGCTGAACTCCAGTAAGCATTTCCTGCCTGGCACTTTTCAGCCTTGATAATTTTCTATGCAATAACAGGGGCTGGGGGGAATCAGCTGTTTTATTAGCTGGGGTGAATCCTGCCCTCTACCCATCAGTTTGCTCTCGGAGCTGGCTAGAAATGTCATAGAACAAAAATTGTCTTGTTGAGTAGACTAAATGTTAGTCATTAAGAGCTATAAAAGAAGAAAGTCTTTCCCAGTTTTATTACGGAGTGTTTGTGAAGTCTCTGGGACTGTGGATAGACAGATTTGGTGTGGTCGTTTCAGGTACAGTCAGGTACGCTCATGCTCTTTTCACAATCAAAATGACAGACCTGAAAATGACATGTGCTGGCAACAAACTGAAGTGGGACAGTGGAAAGGAGACTTTCTGTCAAAATATCCAAGGGAGGAGAGAACACAATGAGATGGGACAGCTATATGATCTTTCTAAGTGCTGAACTCTAGTAG